TGGGATTGTGTGTAGGTGGCAGTTTTAATGCCAGGGGCACTCTCTTTAATAGCCCACAAGACATTCGAACCAGAAATCTGACTATTTTATTTCAGAATATGAATACTGATTTAAAACAAATTGCCATGTGTTCCAAACACCTATAGTTAATGTTTATAAATATGCTTGAGCACTGTAGGTGGCCCCATCAGAATACCCAGAAAAATAGCCTATTTTAACCATGCCCTCTTGCCTGAAATTTCCATGTAACCCACTCCTTTTAGTAGAGGTATTCAAGACGCTTATCAAAATGCAACTCAGATCTCGACTGAATGGAACAGTAAGCCCTTATCAAACATTTACATTATAGCTAGAATTCGTTTCTCAGATTTGTTTGACCCTAAAGGGATAGGATACATTTTGATGGGTGGTTCCTTATCAAGGAAATCTGAAGCAGGAAGACAGAAAGGGGTGCGGCAAGAGGGCCTGAGGGTTTCTCAAAAACAAACGTCATCTCTTTTGCATTTTTTCCAGGGTCCAGCCCTATGCCATGCTGAGACTATTTGGAAATCCATGCTATTTCCCCAAATGTTAAACCAGCTCATGAAATGGGGGGAAATACAAAACTTTTTCAATGTTATTTATTAATCTATGGTGAAGAGTTGCTAGTATATAAAGAACCCTCTGATTAACCTCGTAAAAAGAAAGTAAAATCAAGATAGAAAAGGATCAGCTACCTTAAGAAATGCTTTGTGGCCCTGGCTGGTTTAACTCAGTGGATAAAGCATCAGCCTGCGGACTTAAGGTCCCAGGTTCGATTCCGGTCAAGGGCACATGCCTGGGTTGTGGGCTCGATCCCCAGTTCGGGGCGTGCAGGAGGCAGCCAATCAATGATCCTCTCTCATCATTGATGTTTCTATCTCCCTCGTGCTCTCCCTTCCTCTCTGAAATAAAAAAAAGGAAAAAGAAAGAAATACTTTGTGGCCCAAATGTGGATTTTAAAAAACAAGACTTTAAGAAATCCCCAGGCTTCAGATGCAGTCTATGGTCCTCCAAGAGCAGGAAAGACAGGCTCACTGGTCCATACAAACCAACACCTGCTTGGAAACTCAGATTTGAAAACTTCCTCTGAATTAGAACAGTCACATGGTTTGAAGAGCCACCCCCACCCTTCTCCCCAGCCCTCCTGCTGACCATCTGCTGTGGGAGCGCTCTGCTTCTAAAGTCACGGGAGTCCTCCCAGGGTGGCTTCAGCTGTGAGCTTGGGGAGGGCACGTGGCCTTTGCTGTTTCC